GCATGTAGCTCTGTTCTCTGATTTCAAAGCTATCTCCTGCCATTTCCACATGAAGAATAACCTGAGTTTTCTTGATTTATGATCAAGGATTCAGGTTTATATATTCTTTTTTTAAAAGGCTTTAATTTTTTAAATTTTATTATTTATTTATTTGTTTACTTTTGGCTGTTCTAGGTCTTTATTGCTGCTGGGGCTCTTCTCCAGTTGTGGCACTCATGCTTCTCATCCCAGCGGCTTCTTTTGGTGCAGAGCACAGACTCTAGGGTGAGGGCTTCAGTAGTTTCAGCACGTGGGCTCAGTAGTTCTAGCTCCCAGGCTCCAAGCACAGGCTCAGTAGTTGTGGCACATGAGCTTGGTTGCTTCACAACATGTGGAATCTTCCCGGGTTAAGGATCAAACCTGTGTCTCCTGCATTGGCAAGCGGATTCTTTACCACTGAGCTACCAAGCCCCAGATACATATATATTCATTTTCATATTCTTTTACATTAGAGGTTATTACAAGATATTGAAGTGCTATACAGTGAAAGCAAAGTAAAGAAAGTGTTGGTCGCTCAGTCGTATCTGACTTCTCTGCAACCCCAAGGACTGTAGCCCACCAGGGTCGCCTGTCCATGGAATTCTCCAGGCAACAATACTGTGGGTAGACATTCCCTTCTCCAGGGGAGCTTCCCAACCCAGGGATTGAACCCAGGTCTCCTGCATTGCAGACAGATTCTTTACCATCTGAGCCAGCAGGGAAGCTATCCAGTAGGTGCTTGTTATTTATCTATTTTATGTATATAGTCGTGTGTATCTGTTAATTCCAAACTCCCAATTTATTTCTCCACCACTCTTTCCTCTTTGGTAACCCTAAGTTTGTTTTTTATGTCTGTGAGTCTGTTTCCATTTTGTAAATAAGTTCATTTCTGTCATTTATTTTTATTCCACATATAAGCAATATCATATGATACTTATCTTTCTCTGTCTCATTTCACTTAGTTGAAGTAAGTATGATAAGTAAGTTGAAGTAAGTTGTATGATAAACTCCAGGTCCGTCCACATTGCTGCAAATGGCATTATTTCATTCTTTTTTATGGTTGAGTAATATTCCACTGTATACATCTTTATCCATTCATCTGTCAATGGACCTTTAGATTGTTTCCAGGTCTTGGCTGTTGTAAATGGTATATGCTAAAGAGATGAAACTGGTTAAAGAGTCATAGGGCTAAGATTCCTTCCCATTGAAAGCACCTGTTTGCACTCACTAAACTTTGCTATTTTCCTTAAAGGCTTAAAGGAGCTCGACAGCCCCCTTCCTACCCACACTATTCCTTAAATTCTTTTGAGGAAGCTGTGGTGTGTGCAGACAAAAATGTAAATTCACTTACGATTTGATTCTGTCATAATCATATCACCAACTTTATAAGATGTTGAGGAATGAGACTACCAGTTTTGTTTTATGAGGCCATTATGACAACCTCATATGCCCAGTGAGTGAGCCAGCCATGAGGGTGAAATGCAAGTATTTCTGGCTGCTCCTCACTAAGAGTTAATAGCTCCATTAAACGTACCTTGATGGGGAGTGTGTCCCATCGAGGTATTTAATCATTTATTGGGGAATTTTGCCCCAGTCACCCTAATCAAGCAGATTGTTTTATAGGATTATAAATCACAGGTTCAACCCCTGGTTGGGGAACTAGATCTCCATGCCCCACCTAAAGATCCCACATGCCACAAGGAAGATCACAGATCCTGCATGTCACAACTAAGACCTGTGCAACCAAACAAATTAATGATATTGACAAGAAAGAAAGAAAGGCTGGGACCCTGTAAGCAAAGGGAACTTGGAAAGTTAAAAAAAAAAATTTCAGATAAACTCAAAAACCTGTTTATGCTAACAAATTAGGCTAGGATGTGGAAACAATGTTCCAGACTCAAATGAGACTGGAAATATTTCAGTAGAGGCATTTCTAGTAATCTTCACTATTTTGAACTTGTGCTGTGCCCTGACTTCCACTAATCAGAAAAAAAACAATCCTTCATGGGCCCTCTCCATCTATAAAACCTCTGTCCTTCCAATGAAATATTAGCATCTGGATAGAAGAGATTATGAGCTTAAAAATCCAAAGTAAAAAAATGGACTTCATCTCATCAACAACATAACTAATTTTCCACATCCAGAAATTAAGTATTTAATGTGAAAGAAGGGTAGGTGTTATGTGATTCTACTTGCTGGTTTTGCTTTGTCTCACAGGGAAGGGAGTAGAAATTTCTTTTTCATTAGCAGCTGTCAATGTTTCTTTCATTTCAAATGGAGAGGAATCTCTGTTTTCATATAGTATGTCAGTAACATAGTTTTCCTTTCATATTAAATTATAAATGACATCTCACTAGCTTATTAGTATTATTTTCACAGACATTCCCTCAAGCACCTGTTTAGCTTCATGAGCAAATATCTTGATCAAGTCACACTAAATCTTTTCCCTTGGCAGCCAACACACAACAGCCCTGGGGGACCTTCCCCAGGCTGACACCTCTATTGCTTCTTTTCCATGAACACTTTCATCAGTGTCTTTGACCTTTAGCTGCCATCATCTAATAGCAGTTCAGAGGAGGTGGCATAGAAGCATACTGTGCAGATAAACACAGCAGGGAATCTGATCAGCGCGCAGACGTGACACTTCTTTTGTAAACTCCTCAGCTAGACTTCCCATTCTTGAGGACAGTGACCCTTTTCTCCCTCTCTAATTTCTTTTCAGGACCTGGAATATTACTATAATCCCATCTAGTCGTTGATTGGCTAGTTGATGATTAGATTCATCTTTTCAGCTATTATATAAAGAAAAGGCTAGGAAATGTGTAAACCAGGTTCATCTAAATAAAGGAATCTGACATTGTTTTCCTCTCAATGAACAAAACTGCAGTGGAAATGTTATACTAACAAAGTAGCTAGCAGGAAGAAGAACATCTATATTATGAAGGAAAAAAAATATGTTTAATGAGTACATCTAAATGGTGTGTGTACAGAATTTCAGAAGAAAGTATAGTTACATTTGGATGGACTTTTCCTTCTATTTTCCAATAGAATTATTCTATTCTGTGAAAATTTTACATTATGTTGAAATTAAGAGATGCAAAGATAAAGCAAGGTAGGTATATCTTTGTCCATTAAAAACATCTTAACTCTTTCACTAGAGAATTTTAGAGTAAGTGTTCTAGAGCATTTCGTTTAAAAATAAATGGACAACGAAGAAATTAGCCTTAGAAACTTTACACTCTGAAAAGGGGAGCAAAATATTATTAATAGAAATGATTTTTCTATTGGTTTATTGGTCACACATGTGACTATGGCAGATTCAGAAGTCTCAAAAATAGACTTTGTAAAGGTAGCTGCAGCTGCAACCATGCTATTTTAGGTAAAGCTACCTTTCTAAATAGGTAGTATTTACTTTAAAGCCTTGATGTAAAGCAATGAATGGGTTAGCTGCACATTGAATACATATGTTTGTCTTTTTCTGTGTAAATGTTTGCCTCCTCCTAAATCAATTCAATTATGCTTATCCTGTAGAACTTGGCCTATATCAAGATAACATGCTAGGCAGGAAAGATGGGCAAAGATTCTGAAGACTTATGGCTTAAGGAAAAGAGGAATTTGTTGAGATGACCAAATTCATGAGGCCAAGTCCTACATGTCTCCATTAATTTGTAAACAACTGTCAATTTGTGATTGAATTATTTCCCCACTACCTCCAAAAGATGTTACAATCCTAACCTCCAGTACCTGTGAGTGGGACCTTATCTGATAGTAGGATCTTTGCAGATCTTCAAGCTAAGACGAAATCCTGAGGGTGAGTCCTAAGCCAGTTTGACCAGTGTCCTTATGAAATGGGGGAAATTGGGAAATTGAGACAGAAACATACACAGGAAGAAAGCAGCAATCAGAGTGATATATCTAAAGGCAAAGAACACCAGAGATTGACAGCAAACCACCACAAGTTAGGAGGGTGGCACAGGACAGGTTCTCTCAGAAAGAACCAAAGCCGTCAAGACCTCCATCTTGGATTTCTGGCCTCCAAAGTTCTGAGAGAGATTTCTGCCATTTAGGCCCACCCAGTTTGTGGTACTTTGTTAGAACAACTCTAGGAAGCTAATACAGCAACTATTGCCATATAGGTTACCCAGGGGGCCTAAATAGGAAGTTTAGGTTCTAAACCAATGTGTATCTGTGACTTTTTTTTCTAAGTCAGCTTCTTGGAGGTATAGGGCTTTCCTGGTGGCTCAGATGGTAAAGAATCTATCTGCCTGCAATGTAGGAGACCCACGTTCGATCCCTGGGTTGGAAAGATCCCTTGGAGATGGGAATGACTACCCACTCCAGTATTCTTGTTCAGAGACTTCCATGGACAGAAGAGCCAGGAGGGCTATAGTCCATGGAGTCACAAAGAGTTGGACACAACTGAGTGAAAAATGCTTTCATGGATGTGTGATTTATGCACTTTAATTGTTCAGTTTAATGGGTTTTGGCACATGTGAGACCTTTTCAATCAAGCTCTTGATATACAACCTTCCTTGGGCTGTTCACACAAGCTCTTTTCAGGTCAACACCCCACTGGCCTCCCAGGCAACCAGCGCTTTCTCTGTCACTAGAGATTGATATCGTCAATTCTGGAACTTCTTATGAAAGGGGTGGAAACCATACAATATGCGTTCTTCTGTCTCTGCCTTCTTTCACTTAGCATAATTTTTTTTTTATGTTTTTCTCTGTTGGGTATCAGTGGTTAATTCCTTTTTATTCTATGAGTGTGTCACAATTTGTCTAGCCAGTTGTTAATGGGCCTTTATGTTGTTTAATTTTTTGGTTATTATGAATTAAATAGCTATGAACGGTTAGGTACAAGTCTTTGTACAGACACGAATTTTCGTTTCTTTTCAGTAAATACATAGGAGCAGGACTTCTGGGCCATATGATAAATTTGTGCTTATGTTTTTTGTTTTTTTTTTTAAGTTGCCAACAGCACTTTATTTTTTCTTTTCAACATCCTGTTCTGCGGCTTCCTTGGCCCTTTTCGCCCGGATGCCAAAGAGCCAGCGTTGGCGCGGGCCATGCGGAGACTGGCAAATGCCTTAAAGTTCTTCTCCTCCTCTGTGATGACTCTGGCTTTCTCCTTCTTATAGACGTTCCGTATGGGCATAACAGATCGGTCAGCTGAGTGGCCAGTTTGAGCTCTTCGGCAGAGCTGTCTCCCTTCTTGGGGGCCGAGGGCTTCCTGGGGAACAGGATAAGCTTGGAACGGTACTCCTTGAGCCGCTGCACATTGGCCTGCAGGGACTCCGTGCACTTGTTCGGCCGCCTCGGATCCACCGAGATCCCAATGATCCGGGCCACCTTCTTGTGGATGCCTGCCACCCTAAGCTCCTCCAGGCTGAAGCCCCTGCCGGCGCGAACCTTCACGTAGTACCTGACCGTCGGGCATCTCACCACCGGCCGGAGAGGACCGGACACGGGGCGCGGGGCGATGCGGTGCACCTTGGCCTGCCGGGCCTTGCGTCTACGGATCTTGCGAGCCAGCTGGTTGAACCACGTGCCCACGCGCCGCTGCCAGCCCTTGTGGAAGTGGGGCTTCAGGATCATGTCATTCCGGCTGGGCGCCATGGCTGCGGCCGAAAGGCCTTCTCCGAGGGCTCACGGCCGGGAAAGGAGGAAGGGCCCCACAGCACCCTGGGATGGTAGTGAGCCCGGCCCTGTGCTTATGTTTTTTTGGTTTTGTGTGTGTGTGTGTGTGTGTGTGTGTGTGCTTATGTTTTTAAGAGACTGTCTAAATGTTTAAAAAGTAACCATAGCATTTTACACTCCTACTTTTCCTACAAGGGTCAGTAAACTTTTTGTACTGGGCCAGAGAGTAAATATTTTCAGCCTTGTAGGACATATATGGTCTCTGTCACATATTCTTTGCTTTATTTAACAACTCACTAAAAACATAAAAGACATTCTTGGCTTAGTTATACAAAAGCAGGCCTTGGGTTGGACTTGACACTATTGCCAATTTGTATCAGTCAAGGTTCAACCAGAAAAGCAGAAGCCCCTACATGATACAAACATAGTTAGGGATTTAGCCCTTCGAATCTGCAGGCTCCACATCTGAGGATTCAACCAACTGCAAATCAAAGGGAAAAAAAGTTTCTTTAATTCCAGAAAGTTTCAAACACCAAAACTTGAATTTGCTCCCTACTGGCACGTGTTTACATAGCATGCTGTGTGCTAGGTCACTTCAGCCATATCCTACTCTTTGCAACTCTATGGACTGTAGCCCACCAGGCTTCTCTGCCCATGGGATTCTCCAGGCAAGAATACTGGAGTGGGTTACCATGCCCTCCTCCAAGGAATCTTCCAAACCCAGGGATCACACCAGAACCAGGGATCAAACTTGTGTCTCTTATGTCTCCTGCATTGGCAGGCAGGTTCTTTACCACCTGGGAAGCCCATCTATGTAGCATTTACATTGTATATACAATTATTTACACAGCATTTTCTTTTATTTATTTATTTATTTATTTATTTTTTATCACAACCATAGTGTATCTTTTTTTTTTTTTTTTTTTTACATGTATTCCCCATCCCGGTCCCCCCTCCCACCTCCCTCTCCACCCAATCCCTCTGGGTCTTCCCAGTGCACCAGGCCCGAGCACTTGTCTCATGCACCCAACCTGGGCTGGTGAACTGTTTCACCCTAGATAATATACGTGTTTCAATGCTGTTCTCTTGAAACATCCCACCCTCGCCTTCTCCCAGAGTCCACAAGTCTGTTCTATACATAGGAGTCTCTTTTTCTGTTTTGCACATAGGGTTATCGTTACCATCTTTCTAAATTCCATATATATGTGTTAGTATACTGTAATGGTCTTTATCTTTCTGGCTTACTTCGCTCTGTATAATGGGCTCCAGTTTCATCCATCTCATTAGAATTGATTCAAATGAATTCTTTTTAATGGCTGAGTAATATTCCATGGTGTATATGTACCACAGCTTCCTCATCCATTCATCTGCTGATGGGCATCTAGGTTGCTTCCATGTCCTGGCTATTATAAACAGTGCTGTGATGAACATTGGGGTGCACGTGTCTCTTTCAGATCTGGTTTCCTCGGTGTGTATGCCCAGAAGTGGGATTGCTGGGTCATATGGCAGTTCTATTTCCAGCTTTTTAAGAAATCTCCACACTGTTTTCCATAGTGGCTGTACTAATTTGCATTCCCACCAACAGTGTAAGAGGGTTCCCTTTTCTCCACACCCTCTCCAGCATTTATTGCTTGTAGACTTTTGTATAGCAGCCATCCTGACTGGTGTGTAATGGTACCTCATTGTGGTTTTGATTTGCATGTCTCTGATAATGAGTGATGTTGAGCATCTTTTCATGTGTTTGTTAGCCATCTGTATGTCTTCCTTGGAGAAATGTCTGTTCAGTTCTTTGGCCCATTTTTTGATTGGGTCATTTATTTTTCTGGAGTTGAGCTGGAGGAGTTGCTTGTATATTTTTGAGATTAATCCTTTGTCTGTTGCTTCGTTTGCTATTATTTTCTCCCAATCTGAGGGCTGTCTTTTCACCTTGCTTATAGTTTCCTTTGTTGTGCAAAAGCTTTTAAGTTTCATTAGGTCCCATTTGTTTATTTTTGCTTTTATTTCTAAAATTCTGGGATGTGGGTCATAGAGGATCCTGCTGTGATTTATGTCGGAGAGTGTTTTGCCTATGTTCTCCTCTAGGAGTTTTATAGTTTCTGGTCTTACATTTAGATCTTTAATCCATCTTGAGTTTATTTTTGTGTATGGTGTTAGAAAGTGTTCTAGTTTCATTCTTTTACAGGTGGTTGACCAGTTTTCCCAGCACCACTTGTTAAAGAGGTTGTCTTTTTTCCATTGTATATCCTTGCCTCCTTTGTCAAAGATAAGGTGACCATAGGTTCGTGGATTTATCTCTGGGCTTTCTATTCTGTTCCATTGATCTATATTTCTGTCTTTGTGCCAGTACCATACTGTCTTGATGACTGTGGCTTTGTAGTATAGTCTGAAGTCAGGCAGATTGATTCCTCCAGTTCCATTCTTCTTTCTCAGGATTACTTTGGCTATTCGAGGTTTTTTGTATTTCCATACAAATTGTGAAATTATTCGTTCTAGTTCTGTGAAAAATACCGTTGGTAGTTTGATAGGGATTGCATTGAATCTGTAGATTGCTTTGGGTAGTATAGCCATTTTGACAATATTGATTCTTCCAATCCATGAACACGGTATATTTCTCCATCTGTTTGTGTCCTCTTTGATTTCTTTCATCAGTGTTTTATAGTTTTCTATGTATAGGTCTTTTGTTTCTTTAGGTAGATATACTCCTAAGTATTTTATTCTTTTTGTTGCAATGGTGAGTGGTATTGTTTCCTTAATTTCTCTTTCTGTTTTCTCATTGTTAGTGTATAGGAATGCAAGAGATTTCTGTGTGTTAATTTTATATCCTGCAACTTTACTGTATTCGTTGATTATCTCTAGTAATTTTCTGGTAGAGTCTTTAGGATTTTCTATGTAGAGGATCATGTCATCTGCAAACAGCGAGAGTTTCACTTCTTCTTTTCCTATCTGGATTCCATTTACTTCTTTTTCTGCTCTGATTGCTGTGGCCAAAACTTCCAAAACTATGTTGAATAGTAGTGGTGAGAGTGGGCACCCTTGTCTTGTTCCTGATTTCAGGGGAAATGCTTTCAGTTTTTCACCATTGAGGGTGATACTTGCTGTGGGTTTGTCATATATAGCTTTTATTATGTTGAGGTATGTTCCTTCTATTCCTGCTTTCTGGAGAGTTTTAATCATAAATGGATGTTGAATTTTATCAAAGGCTTTTTCTGCATCTATTGAGATAATCATATGGTTTTTATCTTTCAATTTGTTAATGTGGTGTATTACATTGATTGATTTGCGGATATTAAAGAATCCTTGCATTCCTGGGATAAAGCCCACTTGGTCATGATGTATGATTTTTTTAATATGTTGTTGGATTCTGTTTGCTAGAATTTTGTTAAGGATTTTTACACAGCATTTTCATTGTATGATGTATTATAACTAATTCAGAGATGATTTAACATGTAAGAAAGAAAATGTGTGCAGGATATAGGCAATGTTGTCTGTCATTTATATCTCAACAAATTTTGAAATTAGAAAAGAATCCTTAGTAAGGATTTTAATAATGATTGACAATATGACCCATATGCTAGAGTTATTCTGTAGATTGCAGACTCTGCTGCCACCAGAGGCAGCATCAGGCAAGATGTGACCAATCTTTGAAGACTGAGTGAACTTTTTAGTTTAGCTGCCTGGTTGGTAAAGCCTGTCCTTGTGATAAAACAAAATAGTTAGGAAATAAAACCACCACTGTGGATATATGAATGCGGTGATTTTCAAAGTTGCCTGTGCATCAGAATTACCCAGAAGACTGGCTGTGATACAGGTTGCTGCCCCTTCTCCACTCCTCCCAGAGTTAATTATTCAGCATGTCTGAGGTGGGGAGCAGAGCATTTTCATTTCTGGCAGGTTCCCGGGGACACTCATACTGCTGGTTCCAGACCACACTTTGAGACTCACAGAACTCCCATTATTTAAGTGAACTCTGACAATCTATCTATGCTAGTTGCTGTATATGGGATCTAATTCCCTGACCAGGGATTGAACCCAGGCCCCCTGAATTGGGAGCTTGACCACTGGACCAGTCTTAACCACTGGACCACCAGAGAAGTCCCATGCTGATTGTATTTTAATAGATGTTAAGTTCTTTTTGTCTTCAGGATGTAGAGATTTCTCTCCCTGATATTGATTATTATTCAAAAATAATAGAGAAGTTTTCTGAAAGACAAACCATTTTGCCTACCTGAAAAATTATTTGAAACCAGTTGAAAGACTTGAAGACCAAACTGCTATTTGGGGACTCCCAGAGCACAGTTATAAAAAACAGTCAGGAAGAAAATGACACAGACATCCAATGCTAAATGAATTACTATAAAAATCAGTCTGTATTTATCATATAGCCTTGTCTGGATTAAATATTCCTAGGCTACAACATAACTCAGGCCCAAAATAGGTTTTAAAAAGATAAATTAACAGCTCTAAACTGAAACTTGTTATATTTCCCTATACTTTCCATTCCTATTTTTTTCCTTTCTCATCCTGATGGATTTATTTTTTTACCCTTTCTGTTTTTCCTTTTTTCAAAGAGTTCACTTTACTAAATACCTCTAAATACTTTTTCCCTTTTTGGAGATCTGCTAAGTATACTTCATAGTTCATGTCAAGTGTCCAGAGACTGCATAAAGTAATCTATTATAAACAGCTGGACTTAGTGGGTTTGAACTAAACCCAGTGTATTCTCTGCATGGCTCCAGATAATTTTCCAAGCTAATGCTGTTATGATGTCAAATGGAAATGGCTCCCTGGACCCTACTCTGTCTTATGAAATTACACCCTCTGTCCTTATTTAATGGTGGGTATAACACGAAGTTAAGTTTTATGTGTTTAGCCTACCCACTCATTCAAATAGGAATAGTGAAGTCATTGGGGTAGGACTGACCTGTGAAAGAAGTATCAATTCCTCAGGTTTAGAGGAACCCAGAAATTATGTTGATTTG